ATCCTGGATTTTGCGGACGCTGGGGATCGGGGTGCGTGAGGTCCCGCAAAAACACTCGAAACCCTGAGCCGCAGGTGACCCCAGCCCTCCGTCCTTGAAGTTCATCCCAGCAAACTCCTGCCAGGCAAGGGGAGCGAGGTATCTACTAGATAGTTTCAGAATTTCTGACAACTATCAGTAACTATCGTAACGCTCTCGCGTTTGTCGCCATAGTTCCGGACAAAGCACTTGCTACAACGTGCCAACTCGCACAATTCCCGGCGCCTGCCCCGTGAGATAAGTCGCTTCGCGCAAGTATGCATCGCACAGCGCGATCAGTGCAAACGGAACGAGGCGGCCAAGCATGACCTGAGTCTTGCGGCAGAATCCTTGTGCTGCGGATCCCGAACAAAAGCTTTGGACATGCTCAAGAACGATCCGCCTGAGGACACATCGACACAGCAGAAGTCGAACCCACTACAACGACAGCCTCACTGCTCCAGCCACGAGGCTTCCGATCCGGAGTCGACGTCGCGGCTTCCAGCCGGAGAACAGGAATCAAGTCTTGAGCAGCACAAAAAGCCGAGGCCGCAAGGCAAAGCCGGCACTTGTGTGTTGCCTCTGAGCACATGAACAACCACGCAAAGCCTGTATATGGCGAAACCCTATGGTCTGTCAGGGCCGGTTATCGAATAGATTGGCAAAGGCCCAGTTCAGGAGAATTGAGCTGTACACACACAGAGACTGACTGGTACCATCCAGAGCCGAAGCATCAGGGGACTGCATGCTGCTAGACAGTCTTTCTCCACCCGGCAATGTGCAGAGTCTCCCCAGCTGCTTGTTCCAGAGCCTCAGCAGCAAAGAATGCAACGGCTGAAGTCAAAGACGGAGAGAAACCCGGGAGTGGGATCTGATCTTCTCAGTACAAAAATGCTGCGGGGAACCCTACATCGAAGCATGTCGAAATTACCGTAGTCGATAGTTTGCCCCCCCCTCTGGTTAACCCCCCACGAAGCCCTAAGCCTTTTTTGGCCCTAAACCCTGAAACCCTGAAACCCTGAAATCCTTAAACCCTGAAACCCCTAAACCCCTAAACCCCTAAACCCTGCAACCCTAAACCCCAAACCGGAATCCACCCTGCAAGCCCCCGAAGCTCGGAAAGCCCTCAACCTGTATCCAAAGCTCTGCAACCGCGACCTTGTGGATCCCTTTACGGAAGGCTCAGGTTTTGGGGTTTGGGGTTTCGGGTTTCGGGTTTAGGGTTTAGGGTTCACGGTTTAGGTATCAGGGTTTGGGGGAACTCTTTCAAGGTAGCCTATGGTAAATACTGAAGCGCCGACTTTTGTAGCCAAGGCTCACTTCTAGTAGCCTCCCTCCTGATTGTCGTAGCCACCATATCCCTGGTCCTCCTGCGTGACACGAAGCTGGTCTATGTCGAGACGTCCAGAGTTTTCGCGTAGGATCTGTGTCTGAGCATGACACCCGCAGGGCCTCGCATACCTACACGCTCGTTCCTGCATGACATCGCTTATAAGGAAGGCTTACCTAGGTCAAGACCGGTGTGCAACCGAAACACCGCACTTCCTGCCAAAGCCCACTTTAGCGCTTGCGTATGCTATAATGTTACACATAAGCGTAAGCAGAGTACACACACCTATAGCAGTATTTAACCCTAAAGCCACCAAGACCACAAGCCAACCACTGACCACTAAACCCAAAGCCCCACACACCCTAATCCCGTTTAAGGAAAAAGCTCTAAGCCCTAAAGCCACCCCTCACCCCATTGAAAAGGAACCCTAAACCCTAAACCCTGAACCCTAAATCCTACAGGGTTTTAGGATTAGGGTTAGGGTTCAGGATTTATAGGGTTTTGCACACCCCTCCTGAGGTGGCATCATCGGGGGCGTCTCCTCCTGGTCGAGGCAGCACTTGGAGGTTCAGACATGATTTAGGTGTTTGAGTTCAAGTTTGGGGTTTCGGGGTAGTTATACGTCGGGCTACAAGTTCCCTAAGATGGATTATAAGTCCGGTTACTCTACTTATAGCCCACTTGTAACTACCCGAAGGCTCTGTGGGCTTGGGGCCCTTCCCTCGCTGTGAAGCCAGGAGAGACTATATCTATATCTATCTCTATATATATATACATATATATGTGTGTGTGTGTAAAAATTTATTTATGTATTTATTTATATTTATATATTAATGTACATCCTCAAAACCCAGACACGGACCATGCAACGAAAGCACACCTATCAAACTTCAAGAGCAGGCTCAACCTGAACAGTTGGGCCGCGGGGCAGGACGACAGGCAGCCAACAAAGCACGAATGCCCTGTGCGGCAACATGATACGAGGAAAGGGGAGGGCGTGAGAGGAAGTGCAGCGACACGATGGAAAGCCCACGCAAAAAAACATCGCCCTGGGAAAGGAAGGAAGCGCTGCGAACGACCACATCTGCCGTGCAGGAAATCAGAAGCTGAAATGTCTCACCTTGGGCTCATGGACAATGACGTTGTCGGGCAGCTGCATCTTAGGTCCCATCTTGCCCTCAGGGTCGTGGGACATCATGATCTTCACCTGTTGAACATTCCGACTTGAGCCTAGGGTTTGCGGCTTGTAAAGTATGCTAGGGCCTGAGGGCTGAGGGTTTGAGGCTTTCGGGGTTTTAGGGCTTAAACATTTGGGGCTTACAGGGCTTTGGGGCTTCGGCTTCACCTGTCTAACGTTCAGCGCTTTTTGGGTGTGCCAAGCCCTGCACAGTCTGAACGATGCAATGCGAGTTGTAGATCTCACGACTTTCATCCTATGTCGTAGTTGCAGTTGTTTGGGCTCATATGGGGAAGAAGTCCTGCTTATCGAGCAACCAGACCGCATCAAACTATGATTTACGCTCCTAAACAAACGCATCGTCAGACCGTCTGCTGCCACAAGTTCGCACAGACCCCTTGAACACATGCTGCGGGACACAGCGGCTTGAGGATGCTGAAATCTGGAGAAAGATTCGCTTTGAGGATGCTTCCAGCAAGTTTCGAAGTAGTGAGGCTCATAGAGATGGCTTTCCGGGCCTATAGGGCCTAGTGGACAAAGGTAGTGTGCAGCGTCCTCATGTCGCCAGGAACTTATACCAGCCGACCAGATGCTGCCCCAGCTTGCAACCTCCACAATGCTGGAGTTGCACCCCCATCTCCGGCTCCGTGGTAGAAGAGTAGCTCGAAGCATCAGAGTTGCCAGCCATGCCAGCCCGGAAACTCGCTTGCACGATGACGCCACGTGACAGCGGTTAGCGCAACCCCGACTTGCGGGACTTGGTGCGCAACGCCGGGGCTTCTGGTTTGCAACATTGTTACTATACTAAACTAATGCGATTCGTGCAAAGCGCGGCACCCAGAGTCCGTTGCAGATCTGCTGGACGTCTAACACCGTATGTCAAGGCGACATGAAGTCCGAAAGTGGTCCCCTTAAATTGCAATTGGAAGCGAACAGATTTCGTATCAAACGCCTCAGCCAGTCGCCCCTTATCAACGGTAAGTCTAAACTCAAGCTCAATGCCCCAGCGGGCCTTGATTCCGATGGTGCCCTGGCGCATCTGCACATGGCGGACGGCTTCCGAGATGTAGTGCCTGCCATTTTTTGCATCAGGCTATTGCGGGGGCTGAGCCCTTTTACATCCTTTTACACCTGGGCTGTGTGTGTGTGTGCCAGAACCGAGGCGCCGACTGTGCTGTAGACTAATCCTAGACCACTAAACCCAAACCCCTATGCCCGTCATCAGGAGGTCTGAAAATGGTGTCGGTGCTCTGATCCGGAGAGGTTGAATATTTCGGACAGGGGTCCCCATAATTATGGGTTCAGGGTTTAGGGTATACCGTGGTCTTCCCTGAAAAGGTCTCTGAGCTGCGGTGCCTGGCGGGTTTCTTCGGCTCAAAGGTTTAGGACAAGGGCTTAGGGTTTCGACTCTCACACTCGCCAGGCAAGGGTTTAGGGTTTAGGGGTTTTGGGGCTTGGGGTTTTTAGGGTTTGGAGGTTAAGGGTTTGGGGTTTTTAGGGTTTTTAGGTTGGGGGTCTGGGGGTTTGGGTTTTTTAGGGTTTGGGATTTGGGGTTTTGGGTTTAGGGGTTTGGGGTTTAGTCTGCAAAACGGCACCGAAACCGTCCGAAGGGGGCCCTGACCTTTTCGGCTCACCGGTGGAGATGAGATAGCCCTGCCTGTCGGAAGTCTCGGCAATCTAGGGGCTAAGGTTTTCAAGGGGTCGCAATACATTGTTAGGGTTTTGGCGTCGTTCAGAAGGTGAGGGTTTCAGGGTCCCTAATATGGGTTTGTTTCAGAAGGTTCTGAAAAACTTGCCATTCGATCAGGGGCTTAATTTCAAGTAGTTCCAGGGAAGAAGGGGGGCAGCGGCTTGGGGTTTTATAACTACCGTCATATAGGGAGGTTTCGGGTTTAGCGGTTTAGTTGCATGCAGGGTTGGAGGGTGGGGCTGTCGGTGCTTGCGGCTTAAAGCTGAAGAGTTGCACATGGCCATGGCACACAGGCTTCATCGCAACGACAGGACAAGCATCAGAGTGTCTGTATCCTCCTTTCGGGGTTGCCTTGTAGGATCCTAAATATGCACTTGCTGGTTTAAATAAAAGGAACTGCAACGGAGACTATAGGCAAAGCTTCAGCCCAGAACCCAACTAGAGCAATCTACTGCAGGCCTTGTATATGGTCTGCCTGGTCAGATTCACCACATAATAGGATCTGGGGAAGTGCGCGTTTGATCAAACGCCTTCTGGACCCCGGGAACACAATGACCCACTTGCCCTGGCTCCGACGGTCGTCTGACGGCCTGAACTTCATTGCCTTGGCTCTCTGCGCACGGAGCTTTCCGCTGATGATAACCTCCACACCTTTGGCGCCGTTCTCCATGATGAACCTGCGCATTTCGGACATTAGTCTTCTAGCTCTGTCGAGGCAAGGTGGGCAAGGCAGCATTAGGACTGTTGGTTGGAGGAGTTCGGCGTCACCACCAGCAGCAGCAGCAGCGGGGCTAGTCATGCTCGTGGTGGTCGTCATTACGACGACGACGATGACGACAGTAATCGTCTGCGCAGCAGCGCTCATCAGTGCCGTGATGCTCACTCTCTCTCTCTCTCTCTCTCTCTCACGACGAATAATAACCCCAAGCCTTCCCCTAACTCCAAAGCCTCAAATCATAACAAGCTGGATCAGCCGAGGCGGGCCTCAAGACGCCATAGCAGGCGCGGCGGACGGCCAGGCCGCCAATCAGCTTGAAGCCTGGCACTTTCACCACCGAGACTCCAAACAAAAAGCCTAGGGTTTAGGGTTTTAGGGTTTAGGATTGAGCTCTGAGCGTTGCGTCTGACGGGATCCCCTGAGCACGCAAGAGAGAGAGAGAGGGTTCTCAATCCTAGGGTTTAGGGTTTTAGGGTTTAGGGTTCTCAATCTTAGGGTTTAGGGTTTAAGGTTTAGGGTTTAGGGTTCTCAATCCTAGGGTTTGGGGTTTAGGGTTTAGGGTTCTCAATCCTAGGGTTTCCAGCCCTTATCTTCGAGGCAGAGTTTCCAAACCCTTCATCCCGGATGTTGCACTTGAAGCAGTATCAGCAACACCCTAAAGGCTTAGGGGTTTAGGGTTTAGGGGTTTAGGGTTTAGGGGTTTAGGGAGGCTAAAGCCCTGAACCCCAATATCCATGTGGTCTTTACAGAAGCCAACCACATCCCTGCAAAAGATGCAACACTCAAGCCGGAAAATCAGCCCCTGCCCCAATACTCATTCAGCCCTAGGGATTGTGAGCTTTTGCTAAGAGACATTTTGAAAACAACCCTAGGCCCTAAACCCTATAACGACAAAGATAAGGAAAGCCGGGACGGTTTCGGGCTTTCGCTCTTTTCGGCCAGGCAGCGGAGGGATTCGCACTGAGCCATGGCGCAGCTGGCACGGTTCCTTTGGGTTTAGGGTAAGGGTTTGGGGACTACGATCAGGGTTTAGAGATGGTTTCGGGCCGAATTCCTTTTCCCCAAGCCGTACACCCTCTTGCAGCTGGGACTCCTAAACCGCCTATCCCCTACAGACTTAGGGCTTTGTCTCACACGTCACCTTTTGGCTTTGCGTTTCCTAAACCTTCTTGAGGAAATGCCGGTCTGTTGAGCGTTACTATGTTACTATAGAGGCCCGAATGTGTTATCATATACCCCAAGGCCTCAATGCCCTGTTCGGATCAATAAGGCCCCTTTTGCATTTTGGTGGGGTTTCGTGGCTTTGGCCGTGGCATGCTGGCCCTGATTAGCTTCGTTTCCTTAGGGTGAAACATTTAGCGGCTTCGGTGTCGAACAGCTTAGCGGCCTAACTTGGCGGCGTAGCCTAGTCGTTAATATTCTTGTTCTTTACAAGTGTAGGCACACGTAGGACTTGGGCTTGGGGGCGGGCGACTTTCAGTAAGACGACCACCACCGACAGGCCAGGAACTAAAGGCTATACGCTACACAGAGTACCTGGTGCCTGTGAAGTCTTATCAAACACCGATACGATATGATGTTCCAAGTGGTCCTGCAGATTGTGTCGTTTGGGAGTTATGTTGGCATCTCAGCGTCTGAATATATCGAATCTTGCAATTCCTCAAACCCGGCCAAGATTGAACGTTCGATGCCACTGGATGTTGGTGCGCCTATGGCAAATCCGCTCAGACTCGGTCCACGCAAGCACAAAGACTCGTATTCTGGGCGGGGTTGACAGGCAAAATATGTGTGATTATGCATGTATGTGTGGATGGATGGATGGGATGGAATAACTATATACATGTGCATATGCATATATATATATATATGCATATACATGCGTGGGAAGACGCTCAAGCAGTTGTTTCGCAGTCCCTTTCCGCTTAGCGTCTCGACACGCTCAGCGAAGAGCTCCACGCTGTTCTCGGGGAAGCCGAAACGCTTCTGCACCTTAGGGTTTAGGCTTAGGGTTTGATGTGACGTTCATGTCAAAATCTCTTAGCTGTTGGAGTCAAGGGCTCAATTTTCGAATGTGCCACGGCTGCATCTGCGGATGTGAGCTTCCGGCATCTTATGTAAGGGTTAGGGCCGGCAAGGGCTGCTTCGGATCAGGGTTCAAGGCCCTCACCGACTAGGGGGTGAGGACCTAAAGCCCAAACCCAAAGCATAGAGGCCTAAACCTGCCTGAACCCTAAACCCTAAACCTGTAAATTCTAAATGCCCTGCCAGCCATAAACCCCTCAACACCTAAACCTCAAAGCCTGAATCCCGAAACCATTACGAGAGAAATCCACCCAGGCCCATACAAAGAATGCAAAAATACTCCAAGTCATAGGGTTTTGATTAGGTGTGACAAGGGCCCTAGGATTACCCATTCTCACTGCATCGGCAGTCCTTGAGGTTCAGTGTATAAGGTTCAGGATTCGTGGGTTTCGGGCTTTTGGTTAAAGGGGTGTGGGGTTCGGGAGTGTAGGTTTTCTAAATTCCGCATACCCGAAAGCCGTCAGAATCGCAACTGACTGCTGCAGTGAATCAGTGCAGCCCGAAAAACTCTCCAATCGAAACCCCCCGCCGCGCTGTCGATCCCTCACAGGAACCCTTGTAGCTCCTGCATAGCCGACCGAACAGCCCGTCATGTAGAGGCCTTGATATATAGAATAGGGTCTTGGGTGGTATAATGTACTAAAGTAGCCCCCGACATACGATTGGCAGCTATTTAGGTCCCTATACTACTATAATTTAATTAAAATAAGGAACCACCAAAATAGTATAGGTAATTATTTAGGCTTCTATATCAGACTGTTCTGCCTGTTTTTTGTTGTTTGGACCGAGACGCCAAGGCGGTGAGCTCTCGAATGCGGCGGCCTCACTGCCAAGAGCCCCTTATGAAGGCTAAGGCTTCGAGAACCTCATTTTTTTGGTAGGGCCCAGCTGAACTCCATACTTGAAGTGGAATTAAGTACCTACAAAAAACCCTCAGCTGTGGTTAGGGGCACTTGGAGGTTAATAGGTAGTTGTAAGCGGGGTTAGAAGTCCCCTGGTATGGGTTCTGTTTATAGCCACCCTACCTACAACAACCCCACTGGTACGTACCCATGAACCTCCGAGTCGGGTTTCGGCGCTTACATTCGGACAACCCAGGCGAGGCATGCCAGTCGAGTTTAGGGTTTAGGACGTAGAGTTGAAGGGTTAGGGTTTGGGGTTGAAGGTTTAAGGTTTCGGGTTTAGTAGGTATACGGCTTTTATAGGGCGATGCTAATGGGAGTTTGTAGGGCTCAACAGTGCAAAATCGGAGCTTGATCTAAGCCGTAAAGGTTGAGGATTTCGCGATGAAGGGGTTTTGTTTGGCATGATTTTCTCTCAGGACAGGTGACAGAATCCTGAAAACAAGGCGTCGGGGCTTGTGGGATTGATATGTTGGTAAAAACCACCTTGTGCCATGGTGCAGAGCAGAGTGAACATAATACTGGCCATGGGGGCCATGTGTTTGGTCCGAGCACCTACTTCCTCGCGCATACATTCAAAACTGTGAGTTCGAGGCCTGGACACCCTAAATAGGGCAACATTACCGGCGGTTCTCGGGAAAAGTCAGGATCTGGGATGAAAAAGCTCTACATCGTCTACAGTAGCATGCCGACTGAAGCGAGGTCGGGGACTTCGAGCCCTACGGGATGGGTTCACTTCATCTACACTAAGCTTTGAAGCCTCTTTCTGGCCAGTGGGCTCGGGGTTGCTCGGATGTTACATGGGTAGTTCTCTAAATAAAGGTCCCTTTATAAAGGACCCTAAAGGGGACCCTCTTGTACACATCTTGTAGTGTGTCGTGCCGCGTGCACGCCAAAAACGCATCCGGCGAACCATAAGGCACACAAAAGACTCCAGAACCCCTCAATTATAGAAGGACAGGAATATACTTCGAATCATACTAAGGTAAGCTGAGGTGAGCCCGAGGCACGAACCCGGCCTAACAAAAGGGCGGCCCCTCCGACGCAAGGCCTAAAAAGCCAGCCCCAGCTACACAACCACCAGCAACAGCAACAAGAAACAATAGCGCGAAACGACGAAAGCCAGGATGATGCGCCACACACCACTGCCGTTGTGCGAGATCCGTGTCTGGCAAATCGCGTGGACGATGGAGGGGAGGTATAGCCCAGTCATGACGCCTCCTCGAGCGCGGCGTCCGGAGTACACCATACTCCCGCTGCCCCCTGGGCTGCCCTGGCACTGTCACTCCGTGTTGGTCCTATGCTGCTGATGGTTGAGGTGCGCGTCGGCTTCAGATGAGGAGACCCTCCCCGCCTTATGCCTTAGTGCCGCTTCCGGGGTCCTCGGCCATAAACCAGCAAGGAAGAATCCCCAACACGGACCCGGAGGAAATCATATTAAGGATCCGATTACGATTTAGGGTATATGGAGTCTCCAGGTAAGAACCCTAAACCCTAAACCCCGATGTTTTCATGAGCCCATCGGAGAAAAAAAAGGGCTCGGAAGCAATCAATCCGCGCCTTTCTCTCCAAGCACCTCCCGGGTCCTCTGAGGCGAGCTCGGAACTGCGGCTAAGATGCCATGAGGGTTTAGGGTTTAGTGTGCCATAAGCTTAAGATAGCGTTGTACAAGAGTTCTGTAGGGGTGATATCATGGGAGCCCTAGCTTCAGCAATGGAAGTAGGGTTTAGGGGTACGTCAAGATACTATGATAACAGGGAGCCCTACAGAATCTCAATTTAATCAGATACCAGGTACTACAAACAAGAAACGATTCAGGCTCCTCTATCAGTCCGTCATCGACTAATTTAGACTCCTGATTGGGGCTTGGAAGCCGGTGTCCGTTTCGTTCGCCTGGCTGTTGCAAGACAGAAGTTCTCCTATAACAGTCTTCGGACGATGTGGAAGTTATACTGTAATATTAACACTTGAGTACATATGAAGGTCAATTACGGCATTGCTGGTGCTCGAGGGGTTCCTTCCCAAGCCTTGCAGCTTCCAGATCCCCACTTGGGGCCAGAAACACTCCTTTAAGGTTTGCTGCAGAGCTCGACTCTCCGGTGTAGTTTGCTTTGGGGCTTGTTGTGCAGGTTCATGTTGAGGCTCAACTCGTCATCACCCCGGGTATCCTACAAAGAAATCATGCTTCCGAGAGAGTTTCCCCAACCCTAAACCACTAATGCCCTATGCCCCGTGATCAAGGACTGTCCCTCTTGCTATATAGCTCTTCTGTTTATACTTGTTGTAGGATCCCCTTCGACTCTATGTATAGTAGCCCTTCTTCTTATGATTTCGCGAGGATCCCTTAGCTCAGAGGCAGCAAGCATCTCCTCGTCGCGCGGATGATGATCTCAGTTCGGATCGGGGTGACGCGCACCTCAACACAATGCAGGGTGTGATTTTGAGGCGTTGTCAAGGCCAAAAGAAAAAGACAAACATATGTTTGAGGTATGGGTCCGGTTTCTGTATCGAGGATGATGGCTGGTTATCCCCGGAGCCCAAATCCCAGAACAGCAATGGAGACCTCCGCGAAGGTCCTCCAATACGAAGCTCCATAGGTCCATAGACACCTTAACCCCAAACTTCGAAGCATGTTCCTGCTGAAGCTTCATCATGCTGGAAGTATTGCTGGTTCATAATGCGAGATCATCTGTCAAAGGCTTCTGCCCCGATGAGCTGGAGCGAGACAGAGCAGGGTTCCAGCAGCAATGACCGTCTGATTTGGGGGTATATTATACTATAATTATAATAAGGAGTCCCCTTACATCAAGCTGCGCAAGAGCAACACAGAACGACCATCCCATCCACAAACGCATCTCGTTAGAACCACGGCTCTGAAGCAGTGGACGGCCGAGGTCGGTCCGAAGCAAGCCTCCCTTTAGAATCCTCTAAGAGGGAGTTTCCGGGCACAAGGGGTACCTTATTTTGGGGTCCTTATAATGGGGATCCTACTTTTTCGGGTACTACAACATCTGCCAGGGTACCAACTTCACCACAAGCCCAAACTCCATACACAGGGGTCCTTGAGACATAAGAATCCTCAGCTTCCGATTTTAGCTCTACTTGCTGTTACTAGCTGCGCTACAACCCGACAAAGACAACAACTCATCTGAGCCCACCCAAACGGCCCTCGAGTAGCACATTTGCTCTCAGCAAGCCTGTACCAGGATTCAACATTGAACTCTAAGCCCTCAGATCTCAAGCATCACCTGCGAACCCCAGACTAAAACCAAACAAAACACCCTCCTGAAGTTGAAATCCCAGGAGGCGTTGCAGATAGGGGTCTTACGATTTCAAGAATTCCAGACTCAGGCACCTCGACTCCAGCGTAGCCGTCTTCACCTTGTGGAATCGACGTCGGGGCTTGGGTTTAGGAATTTGGGGTTGTAGGGGCCATTCGGAACGTCCCACGAACTGGTGGATGTTGGTTCTCCATGGCTCCATGGCTCAGTTCTCATGAAGATTCAGATTGAAAAGCCCATGGGCCAGGCTCTCAGGAGCACCGGAGCCTGCGAGGAAAATGGGGAGAGCAACGGCCCCAAGAGAACGGGAAGTGGAATCTGCAGAAGGCTGAACCTCAAACTCCGCCTTAAGTTCTTCGCTGCAAGACTTTGGGCTTACGGCATGTGTGTGGTCTTAAACCAGACTTCAAAACGCCACGCCACCCAGCGTGCGCGCCAAGAACTCGTTCAGCTCTGCGTTGAAGACGCCATCCGCTACGAACTTCCTTTTCTTGGACACCTCTGCAGGCCCGGAGAGCTCCCCAAGCTCTTCTAACGGAAATCCTTTTTTCTACCCTTATCTTAGATGCTGAGTTCATAAGCATAAAAAAAGTGTACACTTTCAGTTCTATAAGGGATCATATTATCCCAACAAGGTTAAAGTGCAGTGATTCAGCTACTAAGTTGTAGAACCTCCAAAGAGATGGCCTTCATCCCGGACACCTTGCACACAACCAGCAACTAAGAGACCTAAAACTCAAGCTCAAGTAGTAGACAGCAAGGTTGCAAGGTGTGATTCTTGCTTCTACTCTACAGCGCGGTTGTCCTCGCTGATCTTTCGGCGCAGACATCCTAGTGCTGCTCATCCCAGTGGTGTACGGACCGTAGTTGGGCCGTTCTGCTTTGGCGACATATGATGATATGAAATCCCAACTCTCAACTCAGTAAAGTTTCAGTCAGCAGGGGCCGCTTCACGCGGGGCGGGAGCCCTGAAGCGTAACCCTAAGCCCTTGCCTGGGCCGAGCTCATGGCGTCAGTGTCGCGATTGGGGTTGGGGTGGAGATGACTCGAGCACAAAACCTTCGGTGTTCATGCGCAAGAAGACGTGTCCGACGGACAACCTTGACATAACAAAGCCTGCTTTATACCGTTTGGCCAAGATAGAACCTCGACATTTACCAGCGTTTCTAGCAAGAACCGATTAACACGAGGCTATGGTAGCTTGAGGCAGGTCCTAAGCATGATTTGAAAAACAGGGCTCCCCAGCAGGTCTGAGACCCGGGCTGGGTCCAGGCCTCATGCTGCGAACCTGCCAGCTGAGCTTTTGACACTGTGGAGTTTGGGCTCTAAGAACTGTCGGCGTTCGAGAGTTTCGGGTGTGGATTTTTTGGAGTTTGGAGGGGGGGTGGGTTTAGGGTTTAAGGGTGGTCAGGTCTTCGTGGCTTCAAAATTTTAGGGAGCAGCTGGGTTTTTGGGTTCGTGCTTTAACAATCCAGGATGAGGGTTCTAAAGCCGGGCCCATGTCATGCCATGAACACGTGTAACCCAGCGCTGTGCTGAAGCCCTTTACATCAGGCCTAAACAGCTGAACTTATCTGGCCTATAAGTAAAGATTGTCTGAACCCTACGGGAACAGCGAGATGAAATATGCAGGTTCCGGTGTGAACCGCCACACCTCCGACTGGATACCTCATCCCCACCCGCTAAATGCTAAGCCTTAAAAACATCGTAAAGGAAATGAATTCAAACTTAAACCCACGAAACCCCAAACCCTAATCCCTAAAAAGGCGAGATATCCTCCCCAGCACCTTCCTGCAGAAGACCCCACTTATCACATCTTCAAAGAAGAACAAGTTGACGAAGGCACCCACTCAATCAAACTGCAGAGTTTGAGGCACCCTAAACCCTAAACCCCTTTTTGCATCCTAAACCCTAAACCCCTAAACCCCTGAACCCTAAACCCGAAACCGTATCACATCTTCAAGACATCCTTATCCTGAACCCCCGTCCCGGGTTCTTGCTAAGGAACCTCATTTAAGTTACCATGGGCCCATAGCAAAATAATGGGGCTTCTTTCCTTATTTCGGTAACTTTAACTATGTTCCTCAGAGCTTTAAACCTATTCCTTCTGATTGTAACGATATGCTCCGATAACCCAAACATAAACATTGCCCGCATAACCATGAACCCTAAACCCTAAAACCTAAGCCCCAAACCCTAAACCCTGAGCCCTAAACCCTAAACATAAACATTTTCCGTATAGCTGTTGCCGGCCTCGGTCTCGCCCCCCATGCAGGTGAAGCTGGGAGCGCCAAGAAGACCTCAAGGTCTTAGCGCTGAGGGTTTTGGGATGCTCAGACGGTTTGGGCTTTGGGGTTCGGGGGTTTAGGGCTTAGGATTTAGGGATGCTCAGACGGTTTCGGCTTCAGGGTTTAGGGTTTAGGGCTTAGGCTTTAGGGTTCAGGGGTTTAGGGTCTAGGGCTTAGTGTGTAGGGTTTCCACTAATTGCCTAGACCCGCAGGCCCTGAAACCCGAAACCCTGCTCGCTAGGCTAGGGCTCGGAGGTTGGGAGCCTGGGACAGGAGAGAAGAGGGGGGTGAAGGTTCAGGGTTTTTTTCGCTCCCACTTAGCTTGAGGGTTTAGGGTTCAGGGTTTAGAGTAGTGATGGAAAAATTGAGGAGCGCACAGAAGAGAGCAGGAAAGCGACGACAGGGCAAATGGCGCAGGATTGCACGTCATGTCGAAATAGGGAGCATCAAACTTTACACAGAGATTACACTGATTACACCACTCACGCAAACTAACCAAAAGCATCAAGCCCAATGCAAAGAAGCAAACGAATCAACGAACGAAGCTCAGAACAGGAAGCCAAGAAAGGGTGCTACCGTCCAGTCAGACGAACGACCAGCCATCTATCAGCAAGAACAGAAATCATCATCATCACCGAGTCGCAAACATCAGCGTATATCGATGCCAACGCCAAGCCATGCCCCTAAACCCTAGGGTGTAGGGTGTTGGGGCCTAGTGTATCTAGAACCTCAACCCCACATGCCGCTGTCATGGCCCCGTGGCATGTGGGTTCGTCTTTGCACCGTTCCGAAGCGGGGTGTATTGGAGTTTAGGAGTTAAAGTTTAAGGTGTAGGATTTAGGATTTAAAGTTCAGGACTTGAAGTTTATATGTAGGGTTTAAAGTTTAGGACTGAAAGGTCCTAAACCCTGAACCCTGAAAGTTTGTTTAGGATTTGCCCCGTGTGCAGGAATCAACTATGCATAGAGTAACCCACTAAAACCCTAAACCCCAAAAACTAAAAACCCAAACCCCAAAACCCAAAACCCTAAACCCCAAACCCTAAACCCCCAAACCCTATACTCCCTAAACCCTAAAACCTACACCCTAAAACCCCAAACCTTTTGTGCGGAAGGCGAAGGTGGCTCTCTCGCCTTCGCGAGCCCACCTGTTCTCAGGCCTCGAGCTGGGTACGATTCCCCGCCGGTGCTCCGAAGTGTATAGGGATTAGGGTTTAGGGTATAGGGCTTAGGGTTTAAGGATGTTTAGGGTTTAGGGTTTAGAGTTTGGGGTTTGGGGGAAAAGGGTATAGGGTTTGGGGTATCGGGTGTAGGGTTCACGGTTTAGGGCCGGGTTTAGGGTTTCTTGTGTAGGGTTTCAGCAACCATCCTCGGACATGCCCGAGCGAGGGTTCCTGGTATAGGTTTAGGGTTCAGGGCTACGCATAGAACTACCCCCTAAAAGCCCCCAAGCTTTAACGCCCAAAACCCCAAACCCTAAACCGTGGCTGAACCGTACCGATCAGTCTTCCTCCCCTCTTCCTTCGAGGGTCGAGGGATCCTAAATCTGATTTGTTTGAGTCTCAGAAACTTCGGGGCACTTTTTCGGAATCCACAAATTGAGGAGGGGGAGTCATCATATATTACGGCATATGAAGGTATATGAAAGTGTTGCGTAGGGTGTGGTGAGGTAGATAGGGTCCCCTATGTTCTGAAACTCGCATTTAAAAGTTCCAGAGTCGGAAGGCTTTGCCCAGACTGCTGGCTAAGGCTGTCCCACATGATGCTCGCTTGCAGCATGACCCATGTCCTTTAGATTTTAAAGTGCTCAGGTGCGACCCTAAACCCTAAACCCTGATGAAACTATGCCACGTCGAGCACCAAGGACCAAAACTGCCCCTTTTTTTGCCGGGTCCTCAGCGGAAGAGGCGCTTGAAGAAGTTGAGGATGGAACCGAAGAAGCCCGGAGAGGAGACCTCAGCCTCGTCTGGAGTTTAGGGTCTTTTTTTTCGTAGGGTTCAGGGCTTTAGCTGTTTAGGGTTTAGGGTTTTAGGGTTTAGGGTTTTGGGTTTAGGGTTTGGGGTTTAGGGGTTTAGGGTTTAGGGACTCGTGGGATCCGGCTAGTACTTGGAGGCTCATGGGTGGCTATAAGTGGGGCTAGAAGTCCCCCATGGGTCATGACTAGAATGATCCTACTTATAACCCCACGTATAAATGCCCATGAAACTCCAAGAAGTAGCTCTGAACCCTGCACAGAAGCAAACCCTGAACCCGACACACCCGGTCAAGGCCTCATCAATCTCCACGGCTTTCTACAAGCCGAAACCCTAAACCCCTACCTACTGTGAACACTAAAGTTCACTAAAGCGTGATACAACCAAGCTACCCCCCAACATGTTGGTGAGGCCGCGTGATCCTCCAAGTACTGTAGAACCTAAACCCTACCCCCATCCAAAATCCTACTCATGTTGCTGGGGTTTAAGGTGTCTTTAAAAACCCTAAACCTAAACTAAAGCCTACACCCAAAGGCCCTAAGGCCACAACTCTTCCAGAAGGTCCTGATGAAAACCCGATTCAAGGGCGTAGTTTTGGCTTCGGGGTTCAGTAACCCTTAACCATAAACGCCAAAACCCTAAACCCCATTTAGGGTGTAGAACCCCTTAACCCTAACCCCCTAAACCCCAAACCCCCAAATCCCCAAGCCTCCATAGGGTTCATAATCCCTTAACCCTAAACCCCAAAACCCTTTAAACCCCCCAAAACCCCCCAAAATCCCCAAGCCTCCATGGCCGCCCCGAGCTTCGGATCCACGCTGAGGGCGCTGTGCTCCAGGCCGCTGCTGGCGCCGTTCTCAGCTTCAAGCAGGGTTTAGGGTTTTGGGTTTTGGGTTTTGGGTTTGTGTTGCTTCAAGCGTTTGGGGTTTTAGGGCTTGGCTGTTTTGGGGCGGTTGTTTTGATTTAAGGGCTTAGGGTTCGCAGGGCTTTATGGTGATAAGGTTTAGACCAGACCAGAGGTTAGGGTGCATGTTCTAGTATATGTTCTAGAAAAGGTTCGTATGTTTGTGCATGATGGTCTTTCGTTTAAATAGGGTGGTATGAGAGTTCCAGAAGAGGTTTAAGGTTTGGAGCTTTAACACTAAATGCTTTCGACTCACTTTAGGGTGCAAGGTTGAGGGGTTGGGAGTTTTGGGTTCGGTACGCCCGCATGGCAAATTGAAAAGGCTCCATCTTGTGGTTTTCTTTTCTGCCGAGGGGTCTGGGACTTGGATGTCATGGTGTTAAATTTCAATAGAAAGGGCTCTAGAGCTTGAGCATGGCTTCGCGCTTTGCGGGATCAATTTTGACCTTCTTGGGAAGGATTAGGGGGCAGGAAGGCTAGGTGGGCAGGCGCGAGGTTGACGACCATGTTTGTTAGGTTGGTTCAGCATACTTGGTACATTGCTGTTCTGCCGTTCGCTCTGCCTGAGCTACAGCGAAGATACTTAGATGATCAGTGGACTTCGTACCGGGGTTGTCTGTGAGGGTAGCGACTGATACTTCCTTGTTGCCTCATTTTTTGGCCTTCTGATACAACTTACAACCCCTCGTTTTGTTGGAACCTTCTTGTTGATGTCACCTAGCTTCCAGCAGCTTGCTGACGTCCTCGCAGAGATCGTGCACCTGACAAGCATTGTCCACGGTTGAATGACTTCTGCATCGGGTTACTATACGGTGGCCATAGACGCACTTAACCCCCCTTTCTGCCCTAAGCTCTACGTAGGTTTAGGCTGGAGTTTCAAGCGCCGCTACCTGTCCAAGAGCACTAAGGCTGATTCAGCTCAGAGCTTCGGGGCTTCGGGGTTTAGGGACAAGCCTAGCATTAAGGTACAGGCGCGAAGCTGGGCTGCAAAAGTTGGGTTCTGTCAGATGCGTGCAACTGCATGTGTTCATCTCGAAACGCATGTAGGTGTGCTGACCTTGCGTTCGCACGCATCAACATCCAGATCTTCGTGTATACCTGCAGAAGATTGCAGTCACGCCACACATAGTTATCATTCCGCCATCACAGGTATCATCCGCGCCTGCTGCTCTGCCACCGTGGGATCTGCCCTACTTTCCGAAAACCTACACCCTGGAACAAGATGACCTGAACCAGGATGCCAGGGAGCCAGGAAGAACCTGAAACTCGAAAAACCCTTGCAAGTAGCAAAGGCTCTTTTGAAAAACCCTATCTAGACCACATAACAATCCCCTTCTTCAAGCCCTCTTAAGCCCTGCCCTAAACCCTAAACCCTAAACCCCAAACCCCAAAACCCAAAACCCTAAACCCCAAAACCCTAAACCCCAAAACCCTAAACCCCTAAGCCCCACCTTGCCGGTCAAGGTCTCGGCAGAGTTCTGGATGTTGGCGCCCAGAGTCTCCTACCACTGCCCCAGGGCTTGGGGGCGTGATGTGGGGTTTAGGGCTTAGGGTTTATTTAGGGCTTAGGGTTTATTTAGGGCTTATTTAGGGCTTAGGGTTTATTTAGGGCTTAGGGCTTATTTAGGGCTTAGGGTTGATTTAGGGGTTTAGGGTTTAGGGTGTGCTTTCAGAGTTTGGGACCTGGGGTTCTTCGAAACCGGTATACTTGGGTTTTGGGCTGCATGATGCTCTACTTCAGATGTTCAGTCAAGGAACTGTGCAGCAAGTACACCACTGAAGCTTCTGTATGATAACTTTGGCAGGCAGCGGGACCCGATATCGTTAGAAGGGGACTGCGTGCAGGAAGCAACCACAATGACAATGAAATCTTGTGAATTGCTGCCGCGGCTTCAAGTGCTTCAGGCAACGACTGTAAGCATTGGCCCGAGGAGTCCAATACTAGCTTAGGCACTGGCTGGCTCGCAGAATCGGAGCTCTCTGAGGCTTGCAGCTTTTGGCTCTTAAGCGTTGGTGTGGCTTAAGGCCTAGGGCCCTTAGAATTCCTGATTTGAGGTAGTGCTGCCCTAGATGACTGGGCTTAAGGTTTGGAGTTTGGGGTGCAGGGTTTCGGGTTTGGGTTGCAAACCCCACCTCTCCTGGAGAGCCTACAAGCCCAACAGAAGCAGCTCTTGCCAGAACCCGCAGAAGGATCTAGAAAGTAGATCCCGTAATGGGGGCTTCCTATTTCAACTGCCCTTTAGTAGTATAGGGTCCCAAACTAACCCAGGGGGCTCTACTTTCTAGACCCTTCCGGCGGTCTGGGTTATCGCGCAGCATCTACCATCTCAACAAAGGAGCACCTTCTTGTCCTCCGGGAGTTTCTTCAACAGCGCCTGTGTCATGAGGGCTTTTGGGGTTTAGGGGTTTTAGGGGTAGGGTTTCGGGTTCTATGAGGCTTCAGGGTTTAGGGTTTAGGGTTTAGGGGTTTTGAGTTTAAGGTTTTTGGTTTAGGGTTTTTGTGTCATAGTTCTTTGAGGGCCTGGGGTTCGATTGTTGGGCTTTGGGCTTTGGATCTCACGTTTTAGGGAAAGTTAGGGGTCTAGGTTGGGAGTGGGCTCCTTTACAGAGCTATGATAAAGGATTCATGCAAAAGAAGGCATCTCCCCCCCCCCCCACCCCAGCTTCCCGGCTTTGACTTACGGTTTAGGGTCTAGGTTTGGAGGGGCTTAAGCCTGTGGGGGCTGTAGGCTGCGAGGAGGGTTTGCGAGGCTTTGACAAGGTTTGACTACGGTCTTGCAAAACCCTAAGCCCTCGCCCCTAGACCCTAAACCTAGTGCCTAAACCGCAAACCCTAAATCCTAAACCCTAGTGCCCAAACCTGTAATCTCAAGCCCTCAGGCTCCTCTTCTGGCGGTTCCCCTTAACTAGGACAGCCTCGAAGGTGTTCTATGATGTTCTCTTCTTCAAGAACCGGGATCAAAACAGTTCAACCTCTCTGGGGTAGACCAAACGTATAAGGCCAGAAAGCTTGAAGTTCTCCAGCTGGCTGTCTACGAATAAGATCCTCTTAAGCCCAACAAGGGAGAACACAAAGAGCATGAACTTGCCGGAACGCTGCAGACGTCAGGCGCGAGGTGCCCCTTTGAACTTTGATACGTAAACATTAGTACAATACAACAATGTTCCAAATACATGTCTTCCAAACAAGATAATGAGACTGACAAGGGCGGGTGTAAAAAAAAAATCACTTGTTCCTAAACCCTTAAAAAGCCTGCACGAAGCTGTCGGCGAAGCCCTGGAAGGTGGAATCAAACTCGGATGTGAAGCTGGCGGCAGTAGATCTCGCCGAACCAAGGTTCTCCTTCAGCTTTGCCTTGGCTTCTTACTTTACAAAGAAGGGTTATATAGGGTTTAGTGCTTTTTCCCCATATAGGGTTTAGCGGCTTAGCGCTTAGGGTTGTGGGTTCAGGGCTTGGGGGGCAGTTTAAATTTTCTGCCGCCAACACGTTGTAGGTTAGCTTAAGGAGGGAGTGCTATCAAAGTTTTTGTCGACATGCCTGTGAGGTAACCATGCTTCATGCTCTCACGTGCTCTTGCTATTCATTTGGTCTTCTTTCACTTAGTGTCATTTCGTGTAGCATTGCCGTGCTTGTTGTGGCAGTCTGTTACCTGCCTTTTGAATCGATTCTTTCAGCCAGCCTTCAACCAGCTTCGCATCATTCGATTTCATGTCGTTGCACCTTCTGTCCTTTCCTTCCGCTTCATGACTTGCATTCATTGGTTCATTCATGCTCCATTTTGCTAAACTTGAACCCCGTGGGTCAGCCATTGGCTGCATGCACTCAGGGTGGCTCGCTGCATGGGGAGAGGGAGGAGGGAGAGAGAGATACTGAGCTATTAGAGGGAGAGGGAGAAGGAGAGACAGAGAGAGAGAGAGAGAGAGAGAGAGAGAGGCAGAGAGAGAGAGAGACAGAGAAAGATAGAGACTAGAAGAAGAAGGGGATAGAAACCCCGGGGTCTACACTTCAGTGATGTATATCCTACATGCTTCAGACCCCAACCCAAAGCAGGAACCCTACTCCCAAGATTCTATGCCTTAATCTTTGCACCTCAACCCCACAACGCCCCTGAAAACCGGCAGACCCCAAAGCCCCGAACAGAATCCGCAGTCTCTTGGGCCCAATTGTTTTTGGCATCCAGGCCTATTGCAACTGCCGGGTACCCCTGAAGAAGAAAGAAACTGAGGGCCAGGCAAATCTGCAGCACTACCGGCTGTAGCACTCACCCAAACACACAAGACATGATACCTTGCATGCCACCGCTCTCGACAATATCATACTGAAGAACTATGTGGAAGTCGGGAAGGACACGTTTGTGAAGATCATGCCAATCCTTAAGATGCGCATCGTAGAGCCTAGTTTCAAAGCCCTAAACCCCAGATCCTTATAACTTTTAGTACCCTAAACCCTGAACCCCTCATAGAATCTTAAACCCCTAACCCGCTTTTTAGCCCAAGTCTCCAGTGTCGGTGCCAAGTTCTCCTCGGAAGCCTTGAAACGTGCAGGGCTTCAGGGTTCTATGAGGGTTCATGGTTTAGGAGTTTAGGGGTTTAGGGGTTTAGGGGTTTAGGGGTTTAGGGGTTTAGGGCTTCAGGGCTTTAGGGGTTTCGTGACTTAGGGTTTCCCTCTTGAGGGGTTCCGGGTTTCGGGGTCTACAAGCTATAGGGACTTTGGGGTTTGGGGTTTCGGGTCCTATAAGTTATAGGGAGTTTGGGGTTTAGGGTTTTACTATAAGTTACGGGGAGTTTGGGGACAAGCCTTCGGGTTTGAGATTGACGCTGTGGGGATTCACGGACGTAGGGTTTATGCCATTCGGGTTGCAGGTCAAGCTTGTTGGGCTCTAACTCTAGGGTGTTTGGGGTTTAGGGCTTTGGGGTGTTTAAGGCTTCTGGGGTTTAGGGTTGCAGGGAGTGGGGTTCAGGGTTTAGGGTTTCTAGGGGGTTTTGCGGGTTTCGATGCAGGGTTTAGGTTTGGGGTTTAGGGTTTGGGGATTTGGGGTTCAGAGGTCTAGGGTCTTAGGGTTTAGGGAATCTGGATGCTGGGTATTTACAAGGTCTATGGACTTCCAAGCTTTATGGGGACTTGAAAAGCCCTTGCAGAATGCCGAAATGGGGTCTAGGCTAGGATCTACCTATAGCACCCATCGTAGTTCAATCTTCGTGATAAACCCATTGTGTGTGTGTATATATATATTACATATATACATATATTGCATATATATCTTCTTCTTCCGAGAGCTTAGAGTCCGGGGGACGCGCTCCTAGCACAAACGAATTCCAGGCCTGCACCTAATTAGATTTGCTGGCTGGAGCAGAAATCTGG